ATGTTATTTCGCACTGCATCAGTGATGAGGAAAAAACGATACAAGATGTGACATACATGCATCAGTGTTCCAACCTGAAAAAACTGGCTTTGCACAATACCTTTGGCGTTTTGCTCAGCCTTGACTAAGGCAACAGAAAAGGTGCTTGTTGAAGAGCATGAAGTGAAGGACTTCTCTTGTTTTTCCTTCCTCTCAGAACAGAAAGCATCTTAAATATCAGTGAGGTTTTTTCTCTTTTACAGTATGAAATGTAAAAAAGTTGTTGCGAACTGTATATAGGTGACAATAAGTGCCAAAACTTCAATTTCAGTCACAGATGGTGATAAATGAAATGATCATATAAATTATTTGTCAGCTGCAGATATTCCATCTTTGTAATTTGCTTGGCTGTGAAAACCTAATTATTTCTCAACCCATTTCATCTGAGAGACCAAAGTAGTTTCAGTTGATGAGGAAGAGAGCACATGGGAACCAAGTGTTAAGGTCAACACTTTTGGCATGCCTGGAAATCTTGCACACAGCAAAGAGCTGGGAATGAGCCCTACATGGCACATGGAGGTGGCCTATAGGAGCTAGTCCTGTTCTCTGGCATTAAAATGTTGCAGGCTGTGAACCCATGTAAGTGCAGTTGGTTCACAACTGTTACTTGTATTGTTGCTAAGCCGGGTACTACATTTTAACTCTCCCTGCCTTGAGTGCATTGGGCCAGATTGTCTTAAGTGGAAGCTGTTCTGTAAACCGGAGGCACAAAGCCGCTTATGTGCGAGACAGCCCTGATGTATGAGTTCTGTAATGATTCAAGCCAGGTTATACTGTACATTTTTCTCACTCATGCATTTATCATCGAGGTCTCTGCCATCTTGATTTCATTTGTTGTCTTTCTCATCTTCAGCTCTGGTTTCTGACTGTTTTCTTCCTTTTCTTTCTGCCTCTTATTACTTCTCCTTTATACTATTGCTTTCAGATTGGCTGTTAGTACTGCTGTCTTTTGCCTGTCTTTCAGTTTTCACTTTCTTTGCTTATTGAGATGAGCGTATTGTGCACCCTTGATAAAGCATGCTGCCTTACAGTCGCTGTGAGGCCGAACGTCTTTCTTGTCATTCACTGTTCTTTCACATAAAAGTAAATAACTTAGTTACTGAAAACTTTCTGTAGCTCCGATTTCTTACAGTTACTGTAAACAGGAAACCCAGGTTCACTGATTGGGTGACATCATTAATAGAACTAGAATTTTTCTGAAGAAACCAGATTTCTTTGCCATGTACATGTGTAACAGGTTTCTGCATATGTACGTTTGCATGATAAAAACTTCAAATAGGGAAAATGTCGCTGTGACATAATGAAATCCAAAGTCCCTCTGAAGCTTAAACTGATATAAAAGACAAAACAACTTGTTTTCTACAGCTGAACAGCAGACGATTTATAAAATTTTAACATGTGCACACTAAAAAGCAAACTGTGTGGTCTTGCTTGAAATTTAATCAGGAATTTAAATTGATACCCTGAGAGAATTGCACATTTTCAGTCCAAGATGTCCAGCATGAAGAGATTGATATTATTTAATCAATGGGAAACAAAATTGCAACCTTGTAAAATTCTTTGCAAGCTCTGTCTGAATAATGTTTAATAAGGTCTTTTTATTTGGTTGACATTGAGAATTTTTCATTGGGTCATTTTTAGTCCACCAAGCATTTGCTACCCATCTTGTACCAGGTATGGGGATTAGGTGGGAAGGGCACCTCAGGGGACACAGGGAGGAATCTATTAAGTGTTTGAGTGTGTGTGTGTGTGTGTGTGTGTGTGTGTATATGTCTGGATAGTGACATGACGTCAGGTCTAGACGGGCCCATTTCACAGTGTGCATTCATGTCACGCCATGACAGCTGATGAAGAAGTGGATCTAATAATCACCACTCGGTGCTGTTGTGACTGTGTTTAAGAATTTAGGCTTTTGATTTGAAGTAGAATTCTATCTATTTGCACATGCAGTGTTCCCAGAAAGTAATTGTAACAAATCCTTTTCTAAATTCTGTATTCTGGAAGTCAAGACAGTTTGTAATAAAATACATTTGCTTCAGTTTGCCAGTTTAAAGGGATTATGTGCTTGCATTTGTAATGAATGTGCAATATGCACGTGGCTCATGCACAGTGTGATACATATGTATGTTTTAACATTCACTATGATTCTTGGTACATATCTAGAGTCTGTTATCATCCATTATTAGTCCATCATGTACAGACAAAGAGAACATAATGAGAGATGAATAAAATGCAATAACATCACAGAACCAGTTATCTGTGGCCACCGACAGGCAAAGGATGTATGCGAACACATGTTATTGTAGCATATGGCAGCCCTAATGTGGTTCTTATTACTGTCAGATAGGAGCACAGTGTTTGATTCTTTGCTCAGCAGGGAAAGTTTTTTTTTTTTGCAGAAGAAAAGACCCAACTAAAAGGGAATTTGGTAAATTCTCATTTGGTTTTACAACAGATGCTGGCAGGCGCAGACTGTTATGAAGTTCCGAGGACATCAGTGTAACTGATCTGTATTTGAGACCTCATTCAAGGATATTACCCAATTCGATATTTAATTCTTTTTTTTGGATACTGGTTAAATTGTGTATCACAGATACCAAAGGGACAACCCATTAGTATTGTGAAACTGCATTAGCCAAATTTGTAAAAAGTTCAACAACAGTGAGCATTGTGTTTTGATGTTGCAATTGCAACATGTTAGGTCAAGTGCACAAGAACAAGGAGGACATATCTATATTGGCACAACAGGCTGTATGTTTGGAGGAAAAGGGTTGGGTTAATTGTAATATGAATAGCAACATGGGTGTTGAGATTAATCATTATACTTTGAACCGATCACGTTGCTTGTTTATACCTATAAACAGTTATGCCTTTCACGTTTTCACACGAAGAAAATGACTAGTCCAGTTAGATTTACAAAGCAAGACTAGTAGACAGCAAAATTATTTACATACAGTGACACCACTTCATTATTTCAAATATTCGGAGGCAATTTCTGTAGATCAGCTTTCTTAATTATGTCACTGAATGAGAGGAGCTTATTTGCGTTTTGTGCTAGGCCTAGTACAGGAACTGTTTACTTAAACACTGAAAACATTGAGATTAGAGGTTAATGGGTGTTGTAACAGTATAAATGTTTTCCACCTTACTCCAGCTCCTGCCCCAGCTCATTCATCAACAAAGTAACCAAACTTTATTACTAGAGGGGTCCCCGACTAGTCTCAGCACTCCCTCCTATCA